CAGGAACATTTCTAGAAGTAAAAACTAGTTGGCGCTATCATAAAGTCACATAGCAGGCAGCCAAAAAGCATACAAATACCAAAACTCGGAAAATGCAATTTTGTTTGTTTACAAAAATTGCAACCATATGTTTTGTGATCATATGTTTTTGCTGACTAAAATTTTGCCAGTACAAAATGAACGCTTCTCTTGCATCAAAATGAACGCTTGCTCTCTCAATTTTTGTGTGTTGGATAATTTTTTGTCGTTATCGAACGCCATCCAGTAAAAATTTGGAAAAACTATTACAAATTTTTGACTAGTCGAACGCACCTAATGTAAAATACTTCTTGTGATTTTTCTTGACAGCTGCAAACAGCCCTTAAAGAAGGAAAATGCAGTTTTTATATAAACGAGCAAATCGACTAAAAGTAAGTGCGAAGTAAAGGCGATGTGCGATTTTCTCGGTGCGAATCTGTACCTACTAAATTACAACAATGCCGATAAGCATTTATGCGATTTTGCTGCAGCGATTTATTCGAACATTCACAATTCTTCTTTTCGTCGTGCCGAAATCGCAGACTGCCGCGTTTTGAGCATGAAAAAGGTCAGGAAACGGTTTTTACAAGATTATTTTGTTTTTCGATTTAAAATTTCTTCGAAAATTGCCTTGTTCATCCAGTTGCAGTTGGTCCTCCTGAGTGCAGACTGCGGACATGTTATTCTTCTCCTGGTCCTTACACTCGGCGCTATTACCGAATCCATCGTAGTCCGTTTTTCGTGTAGTCTACGAAAGTGCGATGTGAAAGTGTATTTTACGTTCGTAGCTATTCGAGTTCAGTGATAGCATTTTCGTAGTTTTCAAGAAAAATTTTACTAACATGGATTCAGTGATAGTCTTGATTGTGTTCGAGGAGTCGAGATATTGGCGTATTTAAGGTCCGCCTTTGGAGGGGGGAGTTTCGCTAAGTATAGATTAAACCGGATCGGTGACAGTACCCCGTCTTGTGGTGCACCCTGCTTAATCCTAAGCGGCTTTGATGTTTTGTTTCTGAATACGACAGATGACTGCCTCCCGCAGAGGTAACTAACAATCCAACGTTTTGTGCTAAGTGCAGTTGTGGTGCTATGTAGCTTCTTGAATCCGTGCTGATGTGAGGCAAGATGCAGGTGTTGAGTCAGTTGCGGGAGGAGTAACGCTTCTATGGTTTTAGCTACCGGAGGGAGGATTGTGATCGGTGTGTAGGATTCACCTAACTCTGTGTTCTTCCCAGGCTTTTGCAGGGGGATTACTCTCCCGTTTTTCCATATCTCTGGGAGGTTGTGTGTGGCTACTGAGGCATTGAAAAGTTTGATGAAGTATTCGACTCCCGGGGCATCCAATTGCTTTAGCATCATCATAGAAATGCCATCTGGGCCGACTGATTTCGATGCCTTGGCCTTGTGAATTACGCCTTGTACTTCATTGGGCGTGAATGTTGGTGTTGTGTCGGTTGCACGGATGTTATGCGTTTTGCGGAGTATGCTGCATTGGGTTATGCTCCTCGTAGGTTGCGCAATAAATTGTCGGCAAAATTCTCGCCCGCACTTCCTGGAGTCGGTGTGGATTTCGTCGCCGAATTTGATGGCCGTGTGGTCGTTATAGTACTTGGACGGGTTCGAGAGGGACTTTACCGTTGACCACAGCTTGTAGACGCCCTCTTGAAGGTTGCATGATTTAAGGTGCTCCAGCCATTTGTTCCGCTTATGGTTATTGACGAGGCGCTTGATCTCAGCGTTAAGATCCTTAATGCTAGGATCGTCGGGATTGGCTCGCCTGATTCGGTCTCAGACGTCAGCGAGACCTGCCGCTTCGAACTGGAAGCCTGGTCGGAGCTCCGGTATTCGTCCGGCTGGGATGAAGGGAGCAGCTGCTGTGTTTAGGACCGTGCGGAATTCGCCCTTGGCTCTGCGAGCGTCAGATGGAGTCGGTAGGGCACTTAAGTATGTGTTCAGGTAGTCTCTGAAGCCTTCCCTACTTGGCCTTTTTGACGTTGACGTATGTGCGGCGCTCGAAGACTACAAAATCAAGACTACAAAGTCAATAGATAGTATGACAGGCAGGTGGTCGGAGGACAACGAGATCATCGCTCGCCATGTGGAGCAGTTGATGAAGTTTGCACTCGCGATGGACAAGTCCGGCGTGCTGCTGCAAGTGCCTGTGAGTCTCGTTGGGGCATCGTCATTCAGGCGACAGAAGGTGGAGTCATCAATTTGATCTGATATTGGTTGTTGCCAAGGTTAGAATGCCAGAGCTGGTGGTGTGCATTGAAGTCGCCTATCACTAGCGTGTTATCTCCGACGAGTAGGGGACTGATGTCTCGACGGTATCCTAGCGCACAACTGGTGATGGGTGGGATGCAGACGTTGATGATTTTCAGTTCTGTGTGTGTAACGGCTATACCCTGGAATTCGATGAGAAGGTTGTTGTTGTTGTTGTTGTTGTAGCAGCATACAAATTCCCCAAAGACTTTTTGGGGAGTGTTGCTGGAGTGACAGTCCTTGGCCAGATATAAATCTGGGTCGTTCCGGTTACGTAGACCCGACTGTCGTGAGAACGTCGCCTCTGGCGATTTCAGGCGTGACGTTTCTATATTAAATTGTTTGGTGGATGATAAAAGCGATGCCTCCTCCTCTGTCGCATAGGCGGTCTTTTCGTTATATCCGTCGCAGGTGAGAAGGTGCGTGCCGCTGCGGAGCCTAGTTTGTTGAACTGCCACGATTTTGATGTTATGTCGTGACATGAAGTTAGTCGCCTTTGGGATCATGCCTTGAAGGCCGTTGATGTTGATTTGCATAATGGCAATCAAGGTGTTAAATACATTTTGATGGCAATAGAGCTGGGTAGGTTTGTTCGGCCCGCCGGTATAAGTGGAGACTGGTGTTGTTGTAAAGGTGATATTGTAGGGAGGGACGGTAGGGCGGTGTGGTGTATGGCGATATGGGTCGTGTTAAATGGCCCAGAGCAGCTGGGGGCGATGTAGGCACTGGAGTGGTAGCGTAGCCTTTTCAGCCTTGAGCAGTTGCAGAAGTGCCTCCAGCCCTCGCACCCATTGCACTGAAAGAATGCTACGATCTGGGTTGCGCATGCCGTGCATGCCCAGATCCGAATTTGGGGTTGTTGGTTTTGTCTGTGGTGTCTTTCAGCTTGCTGGTGCGGCTGTTGTGTGTTTGCTCGCACTGACGCCCGAGTTTGCAATTGCCTAGTGTTAGCTTGCTAAGTAAGCGAGGGTGTTGGTGGTTGCTGATTGATGTTGGGTACAGCGCAGCAGGGAGCCAGATAGTTGGACAAGCGGTCTCGTACGCTGTTTAAGCCTGAACAGTTGCGGAAGTGCCACCATCCTTCACAGCCACTGCACTGAACGGACGTGGCGTTGCCATGTATGCGGTTATTGCATACACAACACAGCCATATCTGCCTGTTGGTGGTGCTAGGTTGTTCCCGCTCTTGTGTTCCGGGGTGTGCATCTGGTTATGGTTGCGTACGTTGCCCGCTGGTCTGCATTGGTGTGATATGTTGTTATATGTGTTTTTTTTTTTTGCCGCGGTGCGTTCTGTCGTGTGTTGTTTAGTCTGCCTGGTTGTTGGTTGCGCGTTGCGGTGGTTGCAGGCTGCGATGAAGTTTACTTGCCAGTCTCTATGGCTGTTGAGGCCCGAGCATTGTCTGATATGGCAACGAAATAGAGAGAATAGAGAGTTCGGAGCATTGTTGCCGGAAGGTGCCGTTCTGATGATGAAAAAATGTGTTTTCGGGGATGTATGCTGATGTAATGGTCCTTGTACGGGGTATCTGGTGACCACCGTGAGATCGGTTTTTTTTTGTAATTTTTCTTACTTCTTTTTCGCTCTGTAACTTTTTAAAGCACAAATAAGTCATCAGCAACTCGCCTTTCGACTACAAACAGTTGAGTCGCTCAGAGTCATGCCAGAGTCATGCCGGTGTAACTAACACATATTTATTTTCACTAACACATCCAAACCGGCATATGAAGCCCTAACCGTAAAATAATTAACCGACATTTTTTCGAAATTACTTTTTTATGCAAAGGTGTTTTTTCATCGCTCCGCTCCAGCGCCACTCCGGTATTTCACTTCGCTCAGAGCTCCGTTCTCGCTACCAATAATAAACTTTTTTATTTATTTAATTACTTACATATCAAGCCCTAACCGCAAAAAAATTAACCGGCATTTTTTTATTTTCTTTATCTTTAGAGCATCTACCTACATGCTCTAGAAGCACTTCTGTATCCCAAGCAAAATAAAAAAATGCCACTTGGACTTTAATTGGTTAACTCATCCATAGAAATGTAAGGAGAGCTATTTATATGATCCCAGTATATTTCGTCTTGCAAATAAAATGACAGATACTAACCCAACCAGAAAAAAAAACCTAAATGTATTTGAAAAAGAAAAAATGTGGATGAAATGCGAATTTTTGTCCGTTTAGCGATTCCATTTTTGAATAAGATTCGTTTTTTCACTGATAATTACATGACAATAAACCCACCTGTGCACCTGTTAATGTTGCCATATCCAGAATGATATTAGCTTTTAGATCCTTGTGTGCATAACTAACACCATCAGACAGTACGAGTCGTCCTTCGGCGTCTGTGTTGTTAATTTCAACTGTGCGTCCCGAATACAAAGTGTGCACATCATCCGGTCTATTTATGTGAAAAGAAATACCAACAAATAAGCAATAAAGTTAAATTAATCCAATAACGTACCTCGTTGCATTGGGCCCAACTGCATTCTCCGCTAAGCACAGGACTGCGTGCAAGTTTTCTTTGAAACCGCATTTCACAGCAGCATAGAAGGCACCCAGAATGGCAGCAGCACCACCACAGTCACGCTTCATTCCCGGCATGGCAGTTTTGCCTTTAATACTTAAACCACCAGTGTCATAAACAATACCCTTGCCCACCAATGCTACAGTATCATGTGCACCTTTTGGCTCATAAGAGAGCACCACCAATGCCGGTGGCACAGCAGCTGCCTTACCAACACCATATATCCCACCGAAACCACGTTCATTTAGTTCTTCGCCACGAATAACAATGGGTGTAATACCCAACTCGTTCGCTACAAGATCAGCTTCCTTTATGAAATGACTGACGTTCATCTCATTGCATGGCATATCTACGATACGTGCAGCAAGACGTATGCCACGAGCCGCTTCCTCGATGCAAGCGATATCCGTTGTGTCCAGTGGCTCTTGCGAAACTTGGCCATCCTTTTCGATGATAATAAATTCTACATTTATTATTGGACCAGTGCCAGTATCTCCATCAGCATCGTTACCCATAACATCATCTTGGGTACAATTATCGGCCTTGTTCTGGCCACCGCCAGTTTTTCTAGAATACAGCGGAAAGGCACGCGCTACGGCACAGGCACTAGCAAAAAGGTCACTACGATCGCAAACAATAACAACATTTTCTTCGTTTGAATGCATAATATGGGTTCTAACAAGGCGAGTAATAGCGTGAGCACGCGATGGTGTATTGTGACGTGAACACTTGAGCGGTACAGCTGCTATAGTGGCACAATCCAAGTAAAGCGAGCATTTGTCCGTGGGCGAAGGATGTAAACAAGAAATGGCATTTTTGAAAGTAGTCTCATCGACGCGTGGGTTCAATTTACTGGATACATTTGAAAAGTTTAGCAAATTTAAATGACGCAGTTGCCCAATGATCAAAACGGGTTTGTAGTAAGGATCGCAGGGCGTTAAGGAGCTGTTGAATTTGATATCAGCAGCCATCTGGAATATAAAAAATTTTAGTTAATATAATATATTGAACAAATTAAAATCAAAGTCATGCATATTGAATAATTGCAGAGATTATAATTAGTATTAAATTTGTAGTCGTATCACTTTGAATTTACGACCTATAATTTATAATGATGGCAGTATTATGAATATATTGGTAATTCTCAATTAGTTCGAATTGTCGCATGACTCGACAGTTTTTAATCGGACACATATTTTGGCCCCTTTATTAACAAAAATCAGGTTACAGATTGCACACGATCTTCAAAAGTGGCACAACTCAAAATTTGGCATTTTTTAAAGAAGGCACTAAAAATGTAGACAGAGCTTTTATTTCCCGTTAAGCAAAAGATGGAACAAATTTTTATTATAACCATATGATTAGCATGTGCTACAAAATAGTTTTTCGCATTTTCTGACGAACGTGTAATTTTGAGTTGTGTCACTTTTGAAGATTGTGTGCGATATGTTGTGTAGATTATTAAATCCGAAAAAAGACCACCGTTCATTATTCGAAGCCAAATATCCATATAATTCATAAATAAAATTGAGAAATTTTCACAAATATAATGTGGCTCTCTTATTATTTTTACAACACTTTTATCAACTTGCAATGTTGTGTGTCCAGACAGCATTCATTGCTAAAAAAAAACCTGTTTTGCAAAGATCCTATAAAAAGGTCTAGTGCAACCTCGTCGGTTGAGAGGTAGATGTCGCCCTATTCACTACGTACGCTACAGCGGAAATGGACGACATGCCATTTCTTTAAATGAAATTGATTGGACTAAAAAGTAGAAAGTGTTTTGATAACTTTTGATTTTGCAATTTTAGCAAAAGTTATTAGAAACCATTTTTGAGATTGAAAATGAAAAGCGTGGGGCGCATGTAATAGACCTGAATTGATATGAAGGGTAATATATGTCTGTATGTGGATATATGAATAACGACCGCTTAAAATCGATCTCAAATTTGTACTTTCTCTGTAGAAATTTTAGGTCTATCTCTAATGCTTTGTATATTAAAAAGTTTTTTTTTTATATTCACCCCTATTCTGGTTGTCGTTCGCATCGACAGTCGTTCGTTGAATTAAGTCGTAAATAAAAATGTTAACGGCAGATTTTGACATGTTTTCAATACTTCTTCATTTCGAAGGGATAATAGGAATACAAATTTGTAGTGGATTATGTCATTCGTTGCCTCATAACGCCAATGAAAGTTTCAAATTTCGACGAACGACTGTCGTTTCGCCAATCGGAATAGGGCCGATTGTTTACTTATTTTTACGTTGCAAAATTTGGTGCATTGATTGCTCACGCTTGAGTTTATAATGAACTGGTAGTATTTGGAGAACAGAATCGAATTCAACCCGTAAGAAATATGTATGTACTTACAATATAAAAGAAGTTATGAAGAGTCAAAGTGGCGTAACTCCTTTTTTGAAATTCTGATATTCGTAGCTTTTATAGTATACTGCGGCTGGTGCGTAACTAAAACTGCTATCGGACAATTTGTATAGTGTTCTGGAGCATAATGGAAATCAATCTAAACGTGGAGGGCGTATGTGGTCTCATTAGAAGATAGTTAAAAAACAACTTATTTAAAAGGTTAGAACGACGTCGCGCAAAGTCCGAAATTTGGATTTTTATCGTGTTTGTTAAGTAATCATAGCTGATTCCACAAAAAAATAATAAACATTAAATAAACTAAGGAAAAATAGCCAAACCTTACTAAAATGTCGCGCCTTAGTTTTTATTTGGTTCACTGTATGTGTAACTTGGTAACCGATTTATCAATTTGTACCAGACTTAGTATGATTTGGCATAAGAAAGTTTTATTTTGAAAATTTTCGAAATCGAACTAAAATTGCGCCCACTTTCCACTTCCACAAAACAAAACGCGTAAAAAACATTTACATATTTAATTTTTGTCAGTATTAAATATTAGTCAAAACTTTTACATATTATATTTCAAAATGTCCAGACATTTCTTAGTTGTCTATGTTAAGCGAACGTTAAAAGAACGTCTTATTCCAAAAAGCTACGCTTACAATTGACTCAAGTCGTTTCTGGGCTGCAACTGCGAACTGCTGCCTTTTAAATAATTGTATATCTCTATGTAAGCACGTTTTAGCCCCTAAGTCAATATAACTTAATTCAATTAAATTAAAATCAACTGTAATACGAAATCTGAACTAAATTTACGTAACCGACGATTGGTCAATAGCAACTGTGGCAGATAAAATGGGTGCATGATTGTTTTTAAGCGTATAGGCAAATAAAACTGTAATAAACAATAATCAGCGAGCATGTATAAACAATAAATCAACAATTATCAGCGGAATGAGTAAAATTATACGAACAATTGCAATAGTATGGTCACTGAAGATAAGCGATAATGGGAGCACCGGGAAATCGTCGTTTCAGTACCCAGTAGATAATTTCAGGAGCTAAAAGCCCTGCCAAAAGGCCTTCTTTAGAGTCTAGAGGCCTTTTAATCTGCATTCCTTCCCTTCTGCTTTTGCTACCCAAAGAGGGCTATTATAGGACGTATTTCAGATGGCCTTTTGGAGGAGCTACTTCTTTAATTCATAAAAACCATACTTCCATAAGGTACATATATATTTAAGGTTCGCATCAAGTGTTTTCTTGCAATCTAAAATGCATATTTGAATTCATTTGTAATTTTAAATAATCAGGTAGGTTCCGCAATTCACTTCTGAGTGAATATCAATCAACTACGCTTTGAATTCAAATTGGCAGGGGTTGAAATTCACACGCAAGTGAATTACAGAACCTGCGTGATTATAAATTTACATTTTCGCGTAATTGTAAATAGAAAAATCCCTTCTAGAATTCACGCAGGGAAGCACTTTTTAAGCCCTTCTTGGGTAGGCTATTTAGAATGGCCTCAGAAGGTCTACCTAAATTATTTTCTGGGCTTAGTAGAATATTCTTCGGAATGGTATTACGAACCTCTAGCCATGCCAGGTCAACGTAATCGGAACGAACCCCAATTATGCATATCTGACCACTGTCACTTCATTAACATCTCAAAAATGTATGGGTAATTTTTATGCTATTACAACGACACACCTCTAGCCACTCGGCAACGTTGGTGTCTCGATAGGTCTATTCCCACGAGAAGAGCATTCTATATCCTCGTCATCGATCCAGATTCCCCCTTATAATTGAGTGAGTATGATATTTTCAACTGTTTGGTTTCTACTTATTAAATTCTATACCCTCCATCTGCAATTTTCACAAAAAATTAACTTTTTTGTATGGAGCGGCACAAATTGAAGGCCTTCTGTTTTCTCTAACCATAGATGGGTTTCCAGAATGTATTTTGAAGGATGTATTTCAGGAGGCCTTTTGAGGAGTCCTTATAAAGATGCATATTTTTGAATTCATTTGTAATATTAAATAATATAAATTTACGCATTCGCGTAAATTGCAATTAGAGAGATCGCAAGTTCTCCTCCATTATTTGGTTTCATAGGGATTCGGATACCTTCCTCATTGAAGTATGTAGTAAAGAAAAATCGCTTATATGCGCACAAATTTTTCGTGCAAATAAGGATGGGCAGCTAAGTAAAATAAACTGCATCGTTTATGCGTCAGTATATTGAAATCTACACATAACATGGCCTTGTGGTTACTAAACAAAAACACCCACAACTTAGTTAAGCGCATACATATCGTCGTTTAAAGTACAAAACCATGTATCAACAAAATGCAAAACCGCGTATGTGAGGTTGCATAAATTATTTTCTAGAGTAAAAACACTTACATATATTTCGAAATGGTTCTCTTTTTTAAAGCAGTCGCATTTCTGGCTAGTATATTTCAGGACGAATGGATAAGGATTGAGCCACGTTCCCACGACAGTCGGGTCTACGTAACCGGAACGACCCAGATTTATATCTGGCCAAGGACTGTCACTCCAGCAACACTCCCCAAAAAGTCTTTGGGGAATTTGTATGCTGCTACAACAACAACAACAGGATTGAGCCAAGAGCTTGTGTGAGCAAATCCAATTTTTGCCAGCAAATGTTCGTTACGCGGTTTTGCAGAATGAAGATACGCGGTTTTGTACTTTAACCGATGATAAGTACCTACCATATATAAGGCAAGAACAATTGAGGTATGGGTTCAAACTGGAATTTTTTGGCGAGTACATGTATAGCAGCAAACAACTGCTACACCCATGAACCATGGTTGCAATTAGTTGGGTCATGTGCTACACCTGCACATCTGAGTAGAAAAACTATTTTAAGGTAAGTTGGAAATGATGTAGTGCCCTTTTTCACGTAAGTTGGTCTTATATTGTTCAAATATTACAAGCAATTGGAATTTTCGCGTGGAGAGAAAAATAATCATAACCTACATTCGCAAGTCTCGCATTTCAGCAAATCACCTACCAAGTGGTCCCAAAAACAAAGCTGTTTCTGGCAGATTGTTTGATTTTTACTTACGTTTTTAGCTGCTCCTTTGCGGTGGCACACAACTGAATTAGCTGAAATTGTTGCAGTCCGTAACACAGTTGATTTAATTATTTCCGATAAATTTAATATTTTACAGCTCGTCAACCACAATCCTTTTACTATGATGTGCATTAATTTTGTAACCAAATAAGCAAATCAATTGCCGGCGCTTTTGGGTTGAAAAGAAATGTCAAATAATTAGGAACGCAAACGATGCATCGATGTTTTTGAACCATCGATAATAATCGGATAAATTTTCGATGTTTGCCATCGATGTTTACAATTTACTAACATTGCGAAATTGACGATACATCGGTGGAAGTTTTACCGATGTTTTAAACATCGAAGTAAGGAGACTCTCCGACTTTCTTTCGGTATGTTTGACTGACCTTGAATTTATTTTTCATTCAGAAGTTTTTTTATTATTTATGGCCTTATAACAATTATATTCAACAATTTAATTGAGCTTGAGGCCGTTTCTTATGAATAATGTTATTGAAAATCAAAAATAATTTACAAAAGTTAGAAGTTATATCTGCTACTTCGGAGATCACCACATTTCCTCAGTGGCCGCGGTTGAAGAAGTCTGATTAGTAAATGTAGTGATCTCCCAAATAGCAGCTATAACTTCTTACCTTTGTAAATTATTGTTGCTTTTCCACAACATTTTCATAAAAACGGCCCCAGGTACAATAAAATTGTTGGATTCATTCTGAATCTAATAACCTAGTCGTTAAAACAGAACCAAACACCCCTTAAAATTTCAAGATCAGGCCTATGCTCTTTAGGCCCGAACGACCTTACGATGTAATGCATTTTGATTCTAGCAATGGAAAGGGTATAGAAAGGATAATAAAATACAGGAAAATACATTCATAATTATTAGAGTATTCAATATTGCTTTAAATTTAACTAGAAATTAACAAATTGCAAAACATCGGCAACCATCGATATATTGATGTTTCTCTGGCGATGTATTTCATAGGGAATTTACATGATTCTACTTTCACAGGCGATTAGTTGAACCAAAAGTTGAACGAAAGTAGGCAACCGACCAACTTCATTGAAAGCGATTAGTTGAAAGTCCGTTTACACCAGGCGATTGTTGCTTTCAACTAAAGATCGCCTGAAAAATCGCCTCATGTAAATTCCCTATCAGCCTCGATGTTCTTTTCTTCGATGTATCGATGTGTGCTCAAAACTTGCATTCCTACAAATAATGGGAGTCTTGCAATTTCGCTCCACCCGCGGCTGTTGTCAGAGTTTTGCTTTCTTTCGAGTCAAATGGTAGTCCTCCCAGATGTTCAAAGACAAAATCCTGGTAAGTGGGTTTAAAGTAAAAAAAAAGCGGGTGATATGCTCAGTACACTTGTATCTTGTTAGTAGTTATAAATAATATTTGTTTGGCTATTGTGTTTTGCGATTATTTCAAAATTTCATTAAAAAAATTGTAGAAATGATAGAAAATTTAGTCTAAATTTATCGATATGGCATGGCCATGTCTTGCTAAACCGCAGTGAACACACCCAGTAGGGAGCTGTCAAAGGAAACGTCGAATTAAATTGACAGTTTCTACAGCGCTGGCGGCCCCACTTCCCGCGTTCGCGTTTGCTCCAAAAACTTTGATTATCTTTTCTCCAACTGTCACTGAAACAAACGCGGATGACAAAACCGAGGCGTGTAAATCGAAGAAATTAAATAAGTCGAAAAGAGGAGAAAAATTTGGCGACGCAACGTTATTTCAATCAGTTTGTTGCGGGGTCGGTTTGCAAACGGTTGTGCAGGTCTAACGTATTTAACCAGTTCCACAATAGTTCTGAGTAAGATTGGCTGTGCGTGTGTGCGTCCAACAGACACCAAAAAATGTATCACTTAAAGAATTTGGCCCGTCAGGCAGCGGTGCGTCAGCAAGAAGTTGCTACTTTGGTTAAGGTTTTGCCAACCGCAGCCCTACAGTCTCGCGGATATGCTGAATATCAAATACCCGATCGTTTAAAAACTGTGCCCACTGCCAAGGATCCACGTTTCTTCGACATGGTAGAATACTTCTTCCATCGTGGGTGCCAAATTGCTGAAAACCGTCTTATTGATGACATGAAAGGCAAACTGTCGCTGGAAGAAAAGAAAAATAGGGTCAAGGGTATTCTTATGCTTATGCAACCATGTGACCACATCATCGAAATTGCGTTTCCACTGCGTCGAGATTCAGGAGAATACGAACTCATTACCGGTTACCGTGCTCAGCATAGTACCCACCGTGTGCCCACTAAAGGCGGTATGTACATACATATACTATATCTACATATATATACCAAATTATTATATAGACAGGGAACTTGAGCGCTATTTTTTCGTAAAGTAATTTACTATATACAAATTAACTACCTAAAATAGCTGCAGGAAATAATTATGGCTTTTAATTATTTTACAGTACGCTTATGTAATCTATTCTACGCTAGCTAATACAGATTTGTAAACGTGTAGGCTTTCTAATGTTTTGCCTGTACATATTTCTGTATATTGTATGTGGCGGTTTAACAAGTCGATACTTAAGTGGCATTGCATAAGAATACAGGTCATGCCTTCATGACACCCCCGGAAGTCTTTAAATTTGATTTGCAAGCTATTCAAGTGACGTGTTTGTTGCAGTAACCTTCTTGTATTGTGTTTGTACAACGCGAACACGATGCATCTACCAAGTACGAGTACTTGACGTTGCTAAAGGAAAATATTTGTGCATTGTGTGTACATACATTTGTATTTGTACATATGTGTATCTTGAATTATTTATTCTTGAATTTATATTTTTATATTAGTTTTTTCAAACCGATCTTACAAATTAATTTAAATCTGAGTGGCATTTTTTAACTAAAAAAAAAAAAAACTTTAAAGTAAATGAATCAAAACTTAAATTTGAAAATATTTCTAGAATACATAATAAGTATATTCTATGTAGACATGTTGAAATATCCTGTATTAAATAATAAGTACTTAATTAAAGTCGTCGCAGCATGAATATCTATAATATTTATCACTCTTCAAACATTGAGCCCAGACTTTTCTCATTGTCTTGAAACGGTTTCATACTCTAGAAACAGGGCAATGGGTTTCAAACCTGAGAAATCTTACACTTCTTACACTACATCGCCGAAAAAATTAAGGCTATTACTGAATCCATCAGGAGTCGCATTTTCGTAAAATCTACGAAAATACTATCACTAAGTCTGAAAATGAATAGTTGAGGGCACAATAAATCTCTTGGTCGCAGCGCATACCTCTATTATCTAGCTATGAACGCAATTCGGAGCAATTCGAAACACGAAATCGCACGGAACTTAGCACACTTATTTGTTTTTAGCCCGGGAAGGTTATAGGTATGGTTTTGTTTGCAAATATGGTGTCAATTTTGCGAGTGGGCGTGGCATCTCCCATAGGCCTGCAAATTTTTGATCAGCCATCTCTTCGGAACCATAAACCACATGAAATTGAAATTTGGTATGCAGACAAATCTATGGTAGATGCTTTAGTAAGGTTTATAATATAGGCGTGGAATTTTTTACCAGCCATAGCTTCGGAACCACAATTCATATGACTCTTTTAATTCCGTTTGATATGCCTTTCGAATTTAAAAGCCCTCAGTTTCCAGTTCGCTTCGCTTTTGCAATAACAATAAACAAGAATGTCTTAAAGAAAAGCCCGTAACTTTATCGAAAATAAAATGTATGATAATTGTATTGGAAAATGCGTTTATGTTAATAGATAATTTGAAGTATTAAAAAAATGCTATGAAATTGTATTAGAGTTATTGTTTGTAAGAATTTAGATAGTATTTCTTCTGTTATATAATTTATTGGAGATATTTTAATCTAAATAAAAACACCTGGAGTGCCAAAAAATTATTATTGCATTTCATTCCATACCACCCAAACTATACAGCTGTCCTACCATATGCTGCTATCACGGCTATAGTAAAATTAGCGCAGAAAGAAGTATAATATATTTACATTATTTTTCATGTTTGTATAAAGGCGCGAGGTGAAACCCGCGGGTAAAAGCTAGTGTACATATAAAAATGAAATAGCGTGTGTTGGTAATCGCATCACGTGAGAACTTTTGGATCGATTTGGCTAATATTTTTCTGATACATTTTCTATAGACCTTGTGTTAGTATGATACTTTTTTCCGGTAAGTGGGCCACAGGGAGCGATCTATTCAAAAAAATCGTATTTATGGTCCAATTTGCTTGAAATTCGTGTTACCTATTACAGATATAGAATGAAATTTAATGTTTGTTTTACAGTTTCAAAGGAGTTTCTATGTGGCGCAAAGCAAACGGGTTTTTGTTGTCTATACCAAATTTTACAAAGAACAGTCCCTTTTTTGGTAAGAGGTGAGTCTTTCCGGTAGTTATAGAATAGAATTGAATGACGGTTTTACAGTGTTTTAGGGTTCAAGTATTTATATGCTTTTATTTTCGTAAAAAGAACAAATTGTTTGTGTCACGCCCGTTACATGTCACACCCATCACAATTTAAAGTTTGACAAATATCTATAAATATACCGTTCTTATCGGCTAATCTGAAATATGTCATATATCTATTTGTGATCAGCGATGATAAAGCCAATCATAAGGATATGTTGCTCGAGCGATGGGAAAACTTAAGCTATGCTGTCACGGATAAAAAGAAACCATTACTACTTATCAATGCAAAAGCAGTATCTAAAACGGTTTGACAGGTAACACCCTCATACTATCAAAAAATAAGGTACTTTACAATTACTCAGACAGACAATGGGGATGAAGAGTCCGATCAAGGATTGTCCCGTCTTTAGGTGGCGGAATATTGTGTTCGTAAAATCAGATTTTTTGAGAAATAAAGTTACTTTAGTTGTTTAATAATGGGTATTTGTGTATTCATGCTCAACTTGCCACACCTGTCACAAAGTCAAGTCACACCCGTCACAGTTGAATTTGGAACATATAATCTATAATTTCCAATAGAGGTAAGCAACTTTGGCGTAAATGTTGAAAATGGTTATTTAACTATACAACGATTTATTTAAAACCATAAGTAGAAGACATAATTAGCTGAAAAACTCTGATACAAGTAGTAGCTAATTTTGTTTGCGTACTCGTCACACCGGTCCATTGTGTATACCTCGGCAACCTATTATACTCGTTTTAAAGAATTTTATATAAAGC